AGAGCCACCATCACCCGTTCTTGAGCTTCACCCGGTTTTTGCCCTTTCCTCTTCCGCTTCAGTTCGACAGCAAGCCCAGGACACTCAGCCTTCATGTTTCACTTCCTCCCATTCACTTTTTTTTATTATAAAGATGTGTGCTACATACAATTGAGGGTTAGGTATACAAACGTTGATTATGCAGGTATCCTCGTGATGAGGTGTGCCCCTCGCTCCATTCACTCATAATTAAGTAACCACACACCCCTTTTTCTTTCTATAATTTTCAAATATTTATGTGAATATATGTATCCTCTCAATAAAGTTGTTATGATGATGATTATTATTCTCTCCCACTTACATTCTGGGCTCCCTGTGCTCATTTTTTTCTCCAATTTCTATTTTGTGTGATTTTTTTGAATTATTATATCTCTTTTCTTAGCCTCCTCCCCTTTTTTTGGAGAGCTCATGTTGACTGAATTTCTCTGAGATTGTGCCTAAATATTTGTCTGAACTCTTCCTCTGTTTCCTTGAGCATTTCTTCTCATGAGATGGATTCTTCAGCTGCTATTTGCTTATGTTCATTTTCTCTCTTTGATTGCATCAGCTATAAACAGATGCTGGTAACTTTAGATGATAACTTTTCTTTGAATGAGGTTAGAATTTGTCAAAGAGTAGTGTTCAGAGCTGTGAAGAGTACAGGAGGGTTGTCATACAATGCCCAGCCTTCAGTATTTCTTTCATATACATGCACTGGTCAGTACTCTGTTGAATGCTTTTGGGGAGCCTCCCTGCAGACATATGGGATTCTCACTTTTTTCAACTGTCTTTTTTCTGGTACTTTATCCTGTGAACTCTAACCTTCTTGATCTCCTCATATTCTAAGCAATGCCTCTTAAATTCAATAAGTCTGTGTAATGGGAACCACACAGCAAAGTTTGCTGTGTAGGCATTAGAAATAAAACACCACATCCAAATGACCGAAGCCAGTGGCCAGAGAGAAGAATTTAGGGGCATCTTTCCCCACTAGCAGACTGAACGCCCTGCTTTCCCACAAGCTCCTTTAAACACATCATTTAGACATTTGCTCATTAACCTAAAGTGAGCCACACCCCTTTCCCTTATATATACCACTAGTGGCCAAGCTTTCTCTCAGTCTTCATTCTTGACTCAAGTGACCCAGTGGCAGAGGACTGCCCTCCTGATTCACGGTGTCCTCCCAGCCTAGGATCTGTAAGTAATGTCTTTGAGCTTGTTTCCTATTGTGGTGGTGTATGAACCTGCACCTTCCATCTGAAGAACCAGGGATAGGTTTTCCCTGAGTTTCTGGAGAGACCACAAAGCAGGGCTCCTAGCGCCAGAGCCATGGTCAGGCAGGCATAAGCTAGACCCAGGTCACATGAGAACCACAGGGCATTTGCCGGTAAAAATAAGTTTCTCACTTCCTCTTCTTGTAAAGCCAAAGTCCCACTCCCATGAAAGCCAACTAATCGCCTAATTCTTGAATGGATGAATCTATTCGTGAGAGCAAACCACTCATGACCCATTCATTTCTTTTTTTTTTTTTTGAGTTGGAGTCTCACTCAGTCGCCCAGACTGGAGTGCAGTGGCCGCTCCCGGCCACCACAGCCTCGACGGGCTGGGCTCCAGCGATCCTTCCGCCTCAGCCTTCCGAGTAGCCGGAATTACAGGCATGCGCTACCACGCCTGGCTGATTTTTGATTTATTGGAGAGATGAGGTCTCGCATTTCTTAAAGGCCTCATCTCTTACTACTGCCACACTGGGGATTAAGTTTCAACATGAGATTTGGAGGAGACACAAATTCAAACCACAGCAAGATCTTAGGACTCAGCCACCCCTTGTGACAGAAACTCTGAGTGACGGTCAATTCACTCGGGTGGTACCTCAGGGACCAAGATAGAGCCAGCCCTGAGAGACTCCCATATACCCTCTTACCCGAGACGATGGTCACTTCAACTTTGACCCGATGGTCAGGTCCATCTTTCTCAATCCCACACCAGTAAGTGTCAGCATCGTCTCGCCTGAGATTCTCCATGGTCACTGTAAATGTGAGTTTTTTCTGATAGTCCCTGATGGACACCCGGTCTTTCTTCACCTTCTGGTTTGATCCAGTGGTCATAACAAGGATCACGCAGCTACCCCAATCAGCTCCTCGACACCACCACTTCTTGTGGGTCGTCCAATATGGGTCATAGTGGCATGTCACAGTCAATGAGCCCTGCTCTGAGCCGCTTACAGTCACTGGACCAGTAATTTGACCACTGGCTGTGGAGTAGCCTGGAAAACACAAATCCACGTACCTGTCACCTTCCACCCCGAGGGCAGGGCCACAGCCTCCGGCACTGGGAAGAGCTCCCCAATGCAAGTGCCTCATAGTAGTCAAGGAAGAAATACATCTTCCACAAGACAAATCTTTGTCCTTCAAAACTCCCCTGGGTCAAGGCCACCAGGAAAGTCACTGAAGAACAGCTGCACATCTCTAAAGAACAAAAATGTTGATACTGAGCAAAAATAGCCTCCAACAGATGACCCCTCTCCCTCCCAATGGCCAAGAAATCTTTATATTTCAAAGAATGTCCTTTGGCAACCGTCTTTCTGTTATAATCTCCTGGTGGGAGGAAATAGCAGAAGACCCATTTCCACAGAAGAATGACTGCTGCCTTGACTCTAAACTGTTCCAGGTGGTTCCCATGTTTCTGGTGGTTCTGCTTAGTAAACCACCTAGATGAACAACTTTGAAATCAACCACAGCAGTGATGCCCACTGCTCTCCATGTGCTCGGAGATCCATGTTACACAGAAAGTGGGGAAATGTTGCTCCCCAGAGGGCACTGGACGGTGTCTGGAGGCATTTTTTATTATCAAGCAGGATGGGGGGTACAATTGGTATCTGTTCGGCAGAGGCCTGAGGTGCTGCTAAACACCCTGCAATGCATAGGACCGCCCCAATCCCCACTTTGCAATTAAGTATATTCTGTCTCCAAGTGTCAATGGTGCCAAGATTGAAAAACCTAAAGTATGGGGTGGGGTGGGAGCAGAATTCCCCCAGTGACCAGAACTTTAAGCAGTTCACCTGGTTGCTAACTTTTCCCGAAGGGGGAGATGGCCAGAGTGACAGCACTGCATGGGGTGCTGGGCAGTTGCCAGTGGCCGGGGAAGTTGACACTGCTGAGTCAGAAGTTGCAGTATGGGTTTCCTCAAGCACCCACTAGAAGCTGCTGAAATTTGGAAAGATCTCTGAGAAAGTCCCACCAACTACCTCATTCTACATCAAAAAAGTGAGCGATCCCAAGAACTTGCCAGGAAGCCACCCTGAATCTTGAATTGTCCAGGCATGCTTCAGCTGTCTGTAGAGAATTATGGCTGCTTTTCTGCCTCCCAAATCTGCCTCCCAAATCTCTGGCAAATGCTTCTATTGATAAACTCCAATTCATAGAGAGAAGGTGATTTGGGGAAATAAGATCCCTGGGTTTTCCTCTGTGATGCCGAAGAGTCCTTAGAGAGGGTGGTAGAGACGTCAAATTGACAACAGATGAACTCATCTGTCCACCCTTTATCAATCCAGCATCACCCCAAGATTCATATGAGGAAGTTCTAATGCCCAATGTGATGGTATTTAGAACAGGGGCCTTTGGGGGGTGAAAACGTTAGATGAGTGTGGCGACTTCATAACGGGATTAGTGCCCTTATAAGGGACACTAGAGCTCTCTCTCACAGTCTCTCTCCCCCTTCCCAAAGTGTACACAAAGAAGAGTTTACATAAAGACTCAACAAGAAGGCAGCAGACTACAAGCCCAGAAGAGAGCCCTCCCCAGACACCAAATCTGCCAGCAACTTGATCTCAGACGTCCCAGCCTCCAGAACTGTGCAATGTAAATGTTGCATAAGCCACCCAGACAATGGCATTTTTGTGATAACCCAAACTGACTCAAACACATATGTATCCCCTTTTATGCATTTCAGTTTCCAAACTGAGACAATAACAACATGTGGGTCTTCCCAGTAAGCTTTCTGCATGCAAATCTTCTTATCAGAGTTTTTTCTTCTACATGTTTGATGAGTCAATGGATGAATAAAAGTGGTCATTTCGTTTCCCTCAAAAACTTCCTTCCCAGGAGACAGACTCTGCCTTTGGTCCCAAGCCCTGTGGTTCTTGTTTCTCAAAGTGCCTGTGGCACTCACCTGGGAGAATGAGTGGGAGCACTGCTGGGGGAGACCTCATGGTGTTACTTCCTAGTTTCTGTCTTTTCTGAGCATCAAGCACCAGCTGCTCCTTAAGTACTTGATGTTGGGTCCAGAAATAGAGACCTTCTCACCCGTCCTGGGTGACACCACTCTGTACCTGTCTCAGTGGTTGCACTTACTACACTGGGCGATGGTATGGTCCTAGGCTCGTCTAGAGCAGAAATTCATGCAAGCCAATTTGTAGGGCTGAGCAAGACTCCAGAGAGTTACTACATACTTATCTCACAAGCTGGCTTCCTTCTTGTGCTCTGAGCTCCTTAGAGGAAGGTTCTCAGCTGTGTCTACAAGTCAAGACCAGCTGTGAAGGTTTTTCAACTATCCAGATGCCAGAGTCTTGCCATCATTGAGTGGGTCTGAGCTGTAACCCAAGTATCTGTGGTCCTTAAAAATTTGTCAGGAATGAACTTATTCTCTAGTTCATCCATTCACTCATTCATTGGTCCACAGCACCTAATATAGAACTTGTCAGATAACAAAAACTTGGTTGTTACCTAATGAATATGTGCACAGATGAATGAATTGGCCCTGCTGTTCTCTCTGACTTGTCTCCTTCCCCCAGGGCAGACCCTCTCTGCCCCCTACCCAGCCTCTGTCATCCCAATGTCTTCAAGCTCCAGCTGTACTCACCAAGGAGGATGAGAAGGAGCAGAACGGGGGACAGCCACATGTTCCTGTTTCCTCTCCTCTTTTTGGTGATCACAGGTGCCCAACGCCCTTCAGGACTTGAAACCGAGCTCAGAAGTGAACACCCCAAACGTGCTTGAATTCCTTTGAGTTTCTCTCATTCACTTTCTATTATGTCTGCAGCTACTTCCCTGTTTTACATATTAGGAGAAAAAGACGTTATTCTTTGAAGACTGAGTCACAACATGTGATGCAAGCTGTGTCAAAACTTGAGTGCATGTGGAGAAAGAAAAAGGATCCCTGCTGCTCAGGTTTGCATGGGGTGTAAACACAGGATCTGGGCGGGTGGGGGACAAGTAGGACTTTAGGAATGGAGAAGCCATGAGAACTGTGACCAGAAGGAGAGGGCAAACCTGGCAACAGCAAGTGGGGGAGAAGAGATCCAGTGAGGGAGACGCGCTGGCTGGCACTTGGGGAAGGAGGCAGCTCAGGGCTCACACCCAGGCTCAGCAGGAGAAACAGCTGAGTCGGGCTCCATCCAGGAGGCCCCAGTGCAGGGCAGCTCAAGCCGCCCTTCAGGCCCTGGGCTGGCGTCCCTCCCTGAGCCTGACCCGCTGCCCCTCTCCTTGAACTTCCTCTGAGGTCCTGAGTCCCCCTGAAGCTGAGGCCTTTGGTGAGGACTGACGGGAAGGAGAAGCTGCCTCTGTTCTTCGGCCTTACCTTGTCCTCTTGCTTCTCCTCATCCCTGCATACTTTCCTGGCTGTTGGCTGTTGGCCCCCTCGCTGCACGGAGCCCACTTACTCCACTCGCCTCCAAGGTGACTCTCCCAATCTCTTCCCTCTTCCTTCAGTTGATCCCCTCCCTCTTTCTCTGTCACCTGCTCCCTTCTCATCTTCTCCCTGAATGAATTATTCCTATTTCTCTTATGTGTTTCCTATGTGTGGGTTTGGTTCTATATTTGGGAAGCCTTTTATATTGTTTTATTTTGTGTTCTTAGTGTCTTTTCCAACTCTTGGGTGATCCAGGTTTCTTGGGACTACTCTATCAGAAAAATATAATTAACACAGTCCTAGAACAAGACTCTGAAAGTATACTGATGTCCATGCCAAGTGAATGCTCATTGCCTCTGTTCCTCCTTCCTGACAGGGATTGGAAAGGATACATTTGTGAAATGAACAGTCACACACAAGGCACCAGGTTGTGTTCTCCCACTCCGGTAAACTTATCACTGCTGGTATGGAAGCTGAAATTTGGCTACTCCTTGGTTAAGCCTCATGAGCCCATTGGCATCGGCAAATTTAAGGCTGATATGATGGGACCATCGCCTGTGTCCTTTAAGTCTTGGAGGGTGGCACTCATCTCCTTTATTTCTTGCCAAATGTAATACTCATCTCCTTTATTTCTTGCCAAATGTAATACTGTCTTGGGTTTACTATCTTGGCCACAGCAGAAGGGCAGTTTCAGAGGCTTCCATCTGGACCTCCCCTGTATCATCACTTTTATCTCCTAGGCCAAAAATCAATATGAGAATTGTGTCAACCACCAAGCGTATCCAATTCTATTGTGGTTCCAGATAGGGGAAAGAACCCCTGGGTCACCCCTCTTATCTCTAGATCTTGTCTCTTGATCTTGCCTCTTGTTCTGTTCAGAATTTGCTGTCTGGCCCACTGAATATGCTCATCGTGTCTCAAACAGCTCAGTGCTTCCACCCACCCTCTGCTCTTCTGGAATCCTCTCAGCCCCATTGACCCTATGGAGTTCAGGTCCATGATGGCATCTCCTCCTGTGAGCCTAGTCTAGGAAGGACAGGCACCACCAAGCCTCTCAGTAATGCCAATGTTCC